GAGAAAGGGTAAATCATGACTCACAGTGAAAGTGTACAACCTCTATAGAGTGTAAAACTGGTATATCAGCCGTGCTCACGGTCACGAGCGGCCTTGGAACATTTACGAAATAGATGATGAACACTGATGATACTAATGATAAAGATGCTCACTAATGATTACTGTTTATGCTATTCATTATTCATGTTTACCTGATCATGTGTTTTTATGGGCTTATGAATAAACTTGTTGCTACTCCTATGCTAAAAGATGACTCATTAAAAGCTAATTGCAGTTAAACTAGTGTTAGCCTTTTGAGCCTCATGAACCCCGTGTTATATTTGTTGAGTACGATATGTACTGACGCTTGCTTTATTTTTCAATTATTTGGATAAAAATCCCGGATGGATACCAGATTGCTAGAGTTTGGAAGAATTAGGCTTGTGATCAACTAGTCAGTTGTCCCTATGGATTGGAGTCTTCACCCGAAGATCGGAGTTGTCTTTTCGTTGTTTGCTATCTAAGGTTATATCCTTTATACTAAGTACGTTATATATTGAGCATTGTCTTTCGATATTACCCTTATTTGTAGCTATATGTGAGATTTGACTTCCTGGACTCACATATGGTGTGTATCTGGTTTTGTTCTTAAAACTGGGTGCTACAATTACCATTGATTCTGATGAAATTTTGATATGGAACACTTCCATTAGTTACCTTATCAAAATATCTTTCCATCCATATGTGGATCGTTGAAAACGGAGTTCGTATGCGACTTGGATGTCCTTTTTACTACATGTTGCTCCTGGAGACCCAGATTTACTCGAACTTGACTTGGATTGGGTCTCCAACTTGGCTTCGATGCCCTTGCTTGCCTTCTAAGGTGGTGGCCAAGGAGGAGGAGGTCCTTGGTCATCTCTTAGGTGTTCTCCATCTTCTTGGGGCGTGCTCCAACTTGGGCCTGGGTCTCAAGTGTGAATAACATGCTCACGACGACGTCGAAGCACCTGACAGAAATAGCGGTAGAATGTCTTGATGATATGAAGACCTTGCCGACGTGATATTGAGGTGGGACCAGATCAATTTGAACCATCAAGTGCTCATGGACCTCAAACTCACTCCGGATGAAAGAGTTATGGCCTTCCCAATGGAGTATTGTTGGGCTGCCGATGACCTGAAAGTTCAACTTTGATGGACTTGAACTTTGAGACACATTTGTACCTAGAATCAAATAATGACATGTACATGTGGAACCAAGTGAATTATACCAAAAATCACTATGCAAATGTAGGAATGAGCTCACCTTATAATCAATGGTCTTATCCGAAGGTGTCATGTCCTCATCAACACACTTGTGCCCATTTGTGATATTCGTCCTTCTCATTTTATCTTCATTCAATTTTCAAATAAGTATTTAGAACCCTAAATAAATTCAAATGAAAAGGTTATCAACTATAATTTTTTATAACTTTTTGAGATCTACAACTTTGGTTTTGGTCTTTTCTCCATCCGAGGTCGTTTGAAATATTTGAATTTCAAATGTGAGAAATTCAAACATGGATTTTTCCATACATAGATGATTTTAAATGAAAAAGTTATCAACTACAAAGTTTTATAACTTTTTGACATCTACAACTTTAGTTTTGGTCATTTCACCATCCGAGGTCGTTTGAAATATTTAAATTTCAAATGTGAGAAATTCAAATTTAGATTTTCCATGCTTTGATGATTTCAAATGAACAGGTTGTTAGCTACAAAGTTGCATAACTGTTTGAGATCCACAACTTTTGTTTTGGTCGTTTCTCCATCTGAGATCATTTAAAAAAATTCAAATTTCAAATGTGAGAGATTCAAATGTAGATTTTTCATGCATAGATGATTTCAAATGAAAGCGTTGACAACTACAAAGTTGCATAACTTTTCGAGATCTACAACTTATGTTTTGACCATTTCTCCATCTGAAGTCATATGATAAATTCAAAAAAAAAATCAAATGTGAGAGATTCAAACGTAATTTTTCATGCATAGATGGTTTCAAATGAAGATTTGGCAATTATTTGGTCACTTTTTCATCTAAGATCATTTGGAAAAAAAAAATTTACTATCAAGTTCTTATTTTTGGAGGTGGCTCTCTAAAAATCGATTTCTAGAGAGTGGCTGGAAATAGAGGCGCCTCTAGAAATAGGGGCATTTGTAGATATTGCTAGTAACAACAGCCATATCTATAAATACATTTCTAGTGGCGGTTCGGTTTGGAAGTACTGTAGATGTGGCTGTATATTGATCTGCCTCTAAGAAAAGCTCTCGTTGCTCAAAATCAATTTTGTAGTAGTTTTACTCCACTTGCTGTAGATCTATTTCTTATCCAAAGCATGTCTAAAGTGTAACAAACAAATTGTTAGTGACACCTCGGATAACGTTTGTAAAAAGGGTGGTAAACTTTTGCCACCATCCAAGCACCCTCTTGCTTCAGGTTCTACAGTGACGTGCATCCACAAAGCAATATTCTGACTTGATGATTAGCTAATATAGATATTTTCCTAAAGCAAATAGCGTGTTTTGTTTCCTCTACATTCAGACAAACCAAAGCATCCAAGTTAAGCTGCATAGACTGCACAGTGCTATAAATTAAATACCTGCCACAAGGTATTCTTGGCCTACTACTTCTGTTTAATCGGTCAAAATAAGATGTTGTGACTAAGCGTGCTTGTTTGGAAACCAATGTATTGTTGGTAATCGGAGTAGTTTAGAAAGAGCTAACCACTGCAAACACATGAACACCTATCAGAACATATGCGTTCCCACTAATCATATGACCCAGCTACTTGTTCGCAAGCTAATCACGCCTTGCCAGCAAGCTAATTAACAAATCGAAGGGTATGGACTAATCTTTCTTTCTTCAAAAGTCAAAACAATACGAGATAACATTTCCTTACACACAAGAGGCGGCATTCACGAAGCTTCGTGGTAATGACACAGAGAGCGTTGATTTTGATCGGTAAATAAACTACTTTAGTTTTTTTTTTGTTCCTAATTTTCTGTTGATTTACTCTAATGCAATTGGAAGTATGTTTAGTGCATGGTTGCCTTTGCCATCGGGGTCAAGCGACCCCGATAAATTTCTACGAATCCTATTAAAAAACTACCGTTGATCGCTGCTCACCACTACTGTTGACCCCATTGTGTAACACGTAAGATCCCGGTAGCAATGGTGGCAAACTGCAAAGCAAAATAGAAAACGAGACATGCTAATCTCTGAGTAGCGAATACGCAATGAGCTCGTTCACGTGGGAGAGTGGGGGAAGCGACTATGGACTGTAACAATGATTAGTAAACGTTGTTCAAGTTGTTTCTGATTTTCTCAAGCCACGGTGTATTTCAGACTAAAACATTGTACTTTTAGTTACCATCCTCTCAGGGCTCTTCTTCATCATCTGTCTGGTCGAATCGGAAAATACTAGGAACGATATGACAGTTGAGGAGGATATGATGACAGAGAAGATCAGTTGACATGGAACATGCAGGCAGCAAGGACCAGAAACAACTCGTCCAGCACCCATAATAAGGCCACAAATGTGACGTACTGCTCGCTGTGTGCCCTCACCCAAAATATACGACGCATTTGTCTTTGGGTAGCGCTACAGGCAAAGGGTTTAATATTCTCTAACAATAGGACCCAAAAGAGAATCCTTTCTGCAAATAGATTTACAGGAGAGATGATGCTAATATTTGGGTTGTGCCTCTCAGACAACCCAAAATAGATCTCACGTATAGGTACTCTGCTAGAGGCTGATTTTATGCCTCTTGCTATCCATTTTAGGTTTTGGTGCCCACATGGGTCGCTCGTCGCAGACAGTCTTCTAAGCCTCGTGCTCTGCGTCTCCATTCTCTTTGCTCTGCTTGTACGGAAATCAGAGAAACCAAACAGGATTGTGTGATTGAGCAGTCAATCCTTTATTCGACCAGGGAAAAAAAAGACAAGCCAATGCCTTTAATTCGGACAGGAAACTTAAAAAAAAAGAGATTAAAAATACCGATGACTACGGCTTACTAGGAAGCCACCAACAAGAGTGACATGGACCTAATATGGAAGATGGGGCTAGCTGACTGCAAGGCAAACCAAAATGTGAAATTCATTTTTGAATTTGAAACTTCTGGAACTCCTGGTTCATTGATAAATTATGTTCTTGATCAGATAAATTCGAGTGACAAAAAAATGTGTGCTTGAAACATATACAGAAACTAAATATGTGTCTCGTACAGGTACAGGCAAAAATAAGGTGAACGACCCAAGCCTATACTTAAAGCTATTTAGAATCTTAAAACCAGTAGCAACCACGCAACAAAGCTAGTCTGCAATCCAGCGCAACAACACAGAAAACATAAAGTGCTACAGCTCTTTTGTTATTCAACCTCGAGGTAGACAACAGACACGGTCAGATGCCCAAGACCAAAGTAGCCAACCCATCAACCTCATGCAGACTGATATCTCATTCTAATTGCTGCTACCACTGTCCTCTTGATGTGCCACTTCTTTTTCACGGGTCTGTTCCGCCTTATCAATCTGCTCCTCTTCTTCCTCTTGATGTCTCACACTGTTTGGAAAAATAAGATGAAGAGTTTGGTGAGGAAAATGGGGTCACATGAATGTAGAACAGACTGGTACCCTAGTGGAACTTTATTTGATACCTCTAGTTCAGTCTCTCCATCAATAGCTTGGTTTGCTTGCTCCTCTCTAATTTGCCAAAGTTTGAGCCACTCATTCCATAACAAACCCCCCCCACACACACACACTTTTGATTCAACTCCTTTTGATTCAACTCCCTCAAAGCCTAGAAGAGAAGAGACAAATTTTTTAATTATTGAACGGCCATGTATATATATGGTAAAGTATGCATTGGCCGCAGCTAGAAGGGAAGTGGAAACGGAAATATAAATAAGAGAGTCGAAATGAACTAGTATTTAACTGCACAGCCAAGTAGGAGTACGTGGTTGCAGCAACTAAGAGGTTGATGGAACCATCAATGCATGTTGCTATGTACTCTTCTGAAGCTGGCAGTGGGACGGTTGGGAAGTGTCTCGAAGGCAGCATTAATGGCTCTTGAAATACATCGGGCAGCGCCATCATGATCATCTTCCACTGGGTTGTAGTCCACGTCATACTCATACCAGTCGCTACCAATTTCTATCTCAGCCTTGTTGAGGGACGAGAGGTGCTGGATGCCCAAACTAGAAGAAGCACCGTTCACGCACTCCATCTCATGCGCACGAAACTCAAGCTTCACGTGCTCAAGCTTTGGCATTGATCCCGCTTCAAACTCCAGGGAGGTCCCACACTTATCGATACGCAGGGAGAAATATTTTAGACTTCTGAATCCGCTGTTGCCAGGGAAGACGATCCTTCCGCCAGTGCCCCCGACACTTTCTAAGTTCAGAAAAAGCAAACTGGGTATTTCTCCAAGGATCTCAACATCTTCTGGTCTCACACATATGACCGCCAAGTTTTAGCACACTGAGGTTTACAAGTGATCCCATCCAATTTGGCACCCTATAGATGGGAATTCTTTCAATGCACAGCTTGCGGATGCTACAGGAGGCTGCAGGGTGCCATGAATGTAGCGGCAGTGGGTACACTCTATTGGGGGCCCAAGCATTGGTATATATAAGATGATGCAGGTTGCATGAAGATAATCAATTTCCAACATAACTGTGAATGCGCTCGGCTTGGCTTCTTCCTTCTGAGCCATTTGGTGTATAAACATCGCATCTAATTTTTAGTGTCCTCAGCTTGGTGAGTTTGCTGAATTCTTGTATGGACTTCGCTTGCCCGTAGGATTGGACTCCATACCTCCTCAGCTCTTCCAAGCTGTGCATCTTTCCTATTGTTCCTTCTGGAAATCTAGTATACCAATCAACATATAAACGAGTCAGTTGTTGAAGTTCCGTGATAGTTCGTGGTAGTTCTTTGATGATGGTGCCTCGCACATCCAACGTCTGTAGATGATGTAGTTCACCAACAGTCTCTGGGAGCCTAGTTATGAAATATGGGCAGAGACGCAAGTACTTAAGATTAAACAACTTCCCAATACTTGCAAGATGATGGTTTTGCATGCCATAGAGTTCTCTTAGGTCCAACACACAAAGAGGAGTGGAAGGCAACAAAGAGATTTTCACAGGCTCTCCAAATATAGTAACTGACCGAACATCAGACAAGATCTGGTCCACTAGTAGAGAAACGACTTTTGATCCACTTCAAAATTTGGCTTTAGTCCCGGTATTTTTCGTGCCCGGGACTAGAGAAACCTTTAGTACCGGTTGATAGCTCTAACCGGGACTAAAGGTCCTGCCCAACGGCTACTGTGGCAGCCTTTTGTTGCAGGGGACCTTTAGTCCCGGTTGGAGCTACCAACCGGGACTAAATGTTAACTTTTACTCCCGGCTGGTCCCTCCAACCGGGAGTAAAAGTCTACTCCCGGTTAGGCTCCGTCCGAGATTAGAAATGAACCTTTAGTCCCGGTTGCTGTCTCCAACCGGGACTAAAGATCTCCAACCGAATACGGGAGCGACGTTTTGTTCAACCGGGACTAGTACGTAGAGTAGCTGCTACATAGTACGTACTGATAGCTAGCTGATCCCGGCTAGTACGTAGGAACTAGCTAGCTAGTACATTTTGTTCACCGTCAGTACTGACATGTCCGAGACTAGTACGTAGCTGTTCACCGTCAGGACATGTCAGTACGTGTCTCTTTGCTAGCTTGCTGCTACGTACGTAGGAAATCAATTAGTCCCGGCTGGTATTACGAGCCGGGACTAAAGATATACTTTTAGTCCCGGCTGGTATTACCAGCCGGGACTAAAGGTCTTTTAGTCCCGGGTGTTTATAGGAGCTTCGATGGGCGGCCCGAGACGCAATATCTTTGGAATTGCTGGCCGGTCCACCTATTAGCACCACCCTCGCTTGTTCGAGAAAAGTGAAAGCTAACTTAAAAGCTCAGCTCTCGAACCATGCAGCACGAACTTGAACAGGATCTGCTCTATGGGATTGTACCGCTGATCCTTGACTAAAGGTCCTTCGTACTATAGTTTATACAAAATGTTGAACATTATAAACGTATGTATATTCTAACAGCGTAGAATGCGTATTCAAAAACCAAAACGAATCATCAATTAAAAAAAAAAAAAAAAAAATAGAAATAGAAACAAAAAAAAGAAAACCTTTAGTTCGGTAGCAGCGTGAAAATAAAAAAAAAGGAAAATAGAAATAGAAACAAAAAACCTGGTAGCAGCGTGAAAATAGAAATAGAAACAAAAAAAAGAAAAAAACCTTTAGTCCCGGTTGGTATTATCAACCGACTAAAGGGACTAAAATTTAACCAGTTAGTATTACCAACCGGGACTAAAGGTCCACCTTTAGTCCCGGGCGCGAAACCGGGACTAAAGGAGGGGCCCTTTAGTCCCGAATTCGTGCTCCCGGTTCCAAAACCGGGACTAAAAGGGGTTGCGAACCGGGAGTAAAAGTAGTTTCTCTACTAGTGGTCTGCCCATAAAGTTACATTTTCTTCATTGTCATTGCTCACACAAAGCCTACGAACCTTGTATTCTGATGTATATACAGGCTTTGCAGCATCTAATGAAGTTACAAAATTCTCTTCAGCGGCCTTGCATTTGATGTAGTCAAGGATGATGTCATGCACTTGACATGCCTTCACCTGACCATACTTTACTCTAACAGGTTGGATCATGCTTCTGTTGATCAGATCATTGAAGTAACGCTCACCAATTTCATATTCATTTTGACCTTTTTCCTTATGAATGAACCCTTCTGCAATCCACCTACTGATCAAACATTGTTTCTCAATCTTGTGATCTTCTAGAAACACACTCAAGTACAACAAACAACTTCTTAGATGGTGAGGAATATCAAAGTAACTCATAGATAATATGGCCGTCATATTCTCAGCACCAGGATTCTTAGCAAGAGAAGAACCAATATCATTTAGTACACTGTCCCATTCACCTTTTGCGTGCTGATCAGCTAACATGCTAGATATAGTGATGATTGCTAATGGTAAACCATCACATTTTCTTAATATCTCATCCGGAGCAGTACCCAAATGAGTATAGCATAAGCTTGCAGAACCAAATGCTCTTTTAAAAAGCAACCTCTTGGAGTCCACAAAACTGAGAGATTTCATTTGGTAAACATTACCGCCTTGGGAAGACAAGTATGATGCAACGTCATTGCTACGTGTTGTAGTGATTACTCTGCTACCACAATCGTTATTCATTAACGCAAGCTTGATGGTCTCCCATGGTTTTGCATCCCATACATCATCAATTACAATGAGGTACCTGCAAATAATTTTAACAACGATGCAGTTAGTGCTGAAGCCTGTAAGGTTATATTGTGTGTGCCAATAACATTTTGTTGAAGTGTGGCAAAAATACATACAGGTTTATGTGAATGGTATTATGAGTAGCGATACTTTTGCAGAGGTAATAAAGATTTACATCCTAATAACTCCAATCCACTAAGGTATTAAAGATTTACATCCTAATAACTCCAATCCACTACGAAAATGGTGGAGTTCTCCTAGTGTTTTTAAGTAGTAATAAAACACTACCACTAGTCATAGCACATGAGAACCACTACGCCAGATTTGCACATCACTGCCGGATTTATGAGAACCGGCAGTGATGTACCTTCACTGCCGGTTATGAGCTTGAAAATAAAAAAAATGATTGGTGCTAGGCTAAAACCGGCAGTGAAGGACCACATCACTGCCGGTTTTTGGCTTGAACCGGCAGTTTTTTGGTAGGCACTCATCACTGCCGGTTTAAGCCAAGAGCCGACAGTGATTGGGAACTATCACTGTCGGTTCTAGCCTAGAACCGATGTTGATAAGCCTACAACACAAAAAGGCTACAGCCGTCCTCTCCTTCCTCCTCTCTTCCATCCTAAGAACAGAGGCGCACGTTTGGACCCTTCCCTCCATTGTTGCGGTTGGTCTTCACCATGAAGCTAGTGCTTGGATTTTGAAGAATGGCTTGATCTTTTTGCTTCAAGGTTAGTAACAAACATTCACTCCTTTGATTTCGTTGCTTAATTAGCTTTATTTTGATGGCTACATTGCTTGATTCTCATTCTAGTTCTTTCTCCATTCTAGAGAGCACTTTTCTAATTGGAAATTTGTACAAGGCTCAAATTGTGGTGAATCCATCGTCCAAAAGGTTGGTGTCTATGAACACATTTAAATTCCTAGCTAATTATTCCATGGTGGTCAAGATCATCATTGTTAGTATGTGATGCTATAATTAGTTCTTAGAAGTAGAGTAGAATAGTTGTTCTTCAATATTGTGCAATAATTGTTTTTTACTACGATTTTCAATTTACCGGGCCGGGACTACCAATTTTAATTTTTCAATAATTAGTGTACAATAATATTTTCCAAAAATGGTACTTTCGAGCTACAATTATTGTTCATGAAGCTCGATTTCTTATTAATTCTTTGGAATTACTGTCTCAGTATTTTTTTTGTGCAGAGATGGATCAAGAGTGGATGCATCTGAATGGACAAGCGGTACATGCATGGCGTCAGCCAGTTTATCACCGATGCCAAAGCCCATGCTGGGAATGGGAACCCTATCTTCTGTCCATGCAAAGATTGCAATAATCATAGGAACTTTTGTCAAATTGAGTCTATACGATCGCACTTGATTACTAGGGGGTTCATGCCAAACTATACGATATGGACTATACATGGCAAGGTTGGTGTGAATGTTCTGCAGGGAAATGTTGATGATGTGGACATGCCTGACGTTGCCATCCACAATGCTGACGAGGAACCCGGTGTCAACACGGAACCTATGGCTACAGTTAATAATGTGTTTAGGAACACGCTAGATGGCGACACCGAGGATAACGATGGTATTTCTCAGCTGCTACGTAATGTTGAGACCAGATGTCTTAGTGAAAGATAGCTGAGAAAGCTAGAGAAAATAAGACAAGATGGCAAAACACCATTGTATAGGAATTGTCCAATGAGCAAACTGAAAGCCGACAACATGCTGTTAGAGTTCAAATTGACAAACGAATTGAGCGATAAAGGCTTCGATCAGTTGTTAGGTATAATAAGGAAAATGCTCCCAGAAAAAATAAGTTGCCAGAAAGGACATACTTGGCCAAGCAAATAATCTGCCCCATCGGCCTCGAGGTTGAAAAAATTCACGCGTGTTCCAATGATTGCATATTGTGCCGTGGAGAAAAATACAAAGACTTGGACAAGTGCCCCAAGTGTGAAGCTCCATGGTACAAGGAAGGGCCGTCAGATGAGGGTACTAAGACCAGAGGAGGTCCCGTAAAGGTCGTTTGGTATTTCCCTATAGCTCCCCGGGTGCATAGGCTGTTTGCATGTGCAAAGTCAGCCAAGCTGTTGCACTGGCATGGCGAAGAGCGTAAGAAAGATACAATGATGAGGCACCCCACCGATGGGCATGACTGGAGGACTGTCAATACTATGTTCTATAAGGACATCGGTGGAGAGGTAAGGCATCTTTGGTTTGCTTTGAGCACAGATGGGATGAATCCTTTCGACCAGGTTAGAAGCAATCATAGCACCTGGCTAGTGACGCTCTATATATACAACCTTCCACCTTGGGTCTATATGAAGCGGTCGTACATCCAGATGCCACTACTGATCCAAGGGCCAAGACAACCTAGGAATGACATCGATGTGTTTCTGGAACCAGTGATCGATGAACTAGTGGAGATGTTTGAAAAGGGTGAGCCGGATGTTTGGGATGAATACAAAAAGGAACATGTCACAATCAAGGAAGTACTTATCGCTACAATCACTGACCTGCCAGGTCGAGGTTCATTGTCCGGAGAGAAGACAAAATGCTATATTGGATGTGTCGAGTACTTGGACGACACCGATGTGGTAAATTTGCCAAATAACTCAAAGATTATTTATATGGGACACCGTAGGTTCCTACCTAAGGATCACCCTTACCGCAGGAACAGAAAAGATTTTAACAGTACTATTGAGAAACGCTTAGCTCCAAAATATCGAGACGGGCCTACGATACTTTGAGAACTCAACAAACTAGAGGTTGTCCTTGGGAGCGTTTGGAAGAAAAAATCAGTTTTCTGGAAACTACCTTACTGGCCATTTCTGAGTGTACGCCACTGTCTTGATCCCATGCACATCACTAAAAACGTGTGTGCTAACACTCTTAACACCTTGATGGACACTAGGGGGACATCGAAGGATTCACTAGCCACACGCTTGGACATGCAACACTTGGGAATCAGGAAGGAGCTGCATCCCGTGGAGCTAGATAATGGCCAGTTCGAACTTCCGGTTGCGTCATGGATATTGAAGAAGGAATAAAAGTGTGCGCTTATTTCTTCAATGAACTCAAAGTCCCGACGGGCTATTGTGCGAACCCGAAGAGGCTAGTGAACATGAGTGAACTCAAGTTCAACTATGGCCCTATGAAGGCCCATGACTGTCATGTCATTATGACTCAACTGCTCCCTGTTGCCCTACGTGGTATCCTCCCCCCAAAGGTGCGCGCCCCAATCATAAAGCTTTGCTCGTTCTTCTACGCAATCTCAAAAAATGTCATTGATGTGTCCATGCTAGAGCAGCTGCAGAGGGACATAGCCGAAACTCTCGTTAGGCTTGAGATGCATTTCCCGCTGACTTACTTTGATATCTCATTGCATCTGCTCATTCATCTTGTTGACCAAATTAGAGCCCTTGGCCCAATGCACCTGCATCAGATGTTCCCTTTCGAAAGATTGATGAAAGTTTTTAGGAGGTATGTTAGGAACAAATTTAGGCCAGAAGGGGGCATGATTGAAGGATAGTCAACGGAGGAGGCCATTGAGTTCTGCACATATTATCTGGACATCAAAAGGGTTGGAGTTCTAGAATCTCGTCACGAGCGAAGACTACGTGGCAAAGGAACGATCGAGGAGAAATCTATTACAGTAGATGACCCTGTTTCTTTCAGACAGGCACAGTTCGCTGTTCTTCAGCAAGCCAAGGGTGTGATGCCATACATTGACGAGCATAGGCAATCACTGCAAACTCTGTATCCGAGTAGGTCACAGGCTTGGCTGGATAAAAAACATAAGGAGGAATTTATCAACTGGTTGCGACATCGCTTGCTTGGAATAAAGTTGGGTAAACAACTCGATTCCTTATCCAAGGGACCTTCGATTACATATCTTAAGTACCAAGGGTATGAGATCAATGGATTCACATTTTACACAAAAAAGCAAGATGAAAAGAGCACATACCAAAATTGTGGTGTTCGTTTTGATGCGCACGACGAAAACGGCAACGTGCAGGCGACATACTATGCTTTCATAGAGGAGATATGGGAGCTAGCCTATAGTTCGTTGAAGGCAGCTCTTTTTCGCTGCCAGTGGGTCCGGCTCGAGGAAATCAACATTGATAGCGAAGGGTTCACTACCGTTGATCTCACTAAGACCGCATACAGAGACGACCCCTTCGTCCTTGCAAGAGATGTTATGCAAGTCTTCTATGCAAGAGACAACAAGATAAAAAGGAAGGCTAAAAGTAGTCCTAGAAGGGAAAAGGAAGATTGTCGGTGTCGATGGAGTGACGGACGAAGAAGACTACAGGGGCTATCAGGAAATGCTTCCATTCGGGGTGAACGTACCCCTACCTATCCTTCAAGAGGGTGACGAACCTGCTTATGTACGAATTGATCACAATGAGGCCCTCATTGTTGATGCACCTAAAGATTGTTAGATTATTGTTAACTATGTAATCATTATGCAGACGTTGTATCAGTAATTCACACCGAATATTTAATTTATATTTTGTGTGCATCTCTATAATTTAATTATTGACTATGTAATCAAATATTAAGATGATGTTCACAGACACTATAATTCGCACTGGATGTAGTGTTACCACCTTGATGAAAGAAAAATTTACAGCACACATCTCGAAGGAAGATTGTGTTAGTTTCTTCAATCTTTGTGCCTCCCTGTCTTTGTTTTTGTTGCAGTCCGAATTCGAAAGGCAAACACAGAATAAATATGCTACAATAAGAGACAAAGAAATACACAATAAAGATTTAAGTAACATACAGAAGTACATCGAAGACAACCCAGGATTAACCATGGAAGAGGCCGCGACCATCTATTATGATGTACAAGGGACGACAACACCAACAATGAAGTATGAAAGGGGCAATCTTTTGGTTCCCGATCATGAGTATAAAAATCTGACAACATATATGCGCCAGTTACATGAATATTATATGGCTCAAGCAACAGAGACGGACGACTTTGGTTTTGAGGTTATTATCCGTTCGCCACATGTTTTCTATTATCCTTAAGAAGAGAAGTTCGATGTCGAGTGGGAGTGCTTGTTCCAGCTATACCAGAAACGCTCTCTCGATATTCAAATGTTGACGCTATGGACTATGTAAGTAACCTACACGCACGATTTTATGATTAACTACTCTCTCGAGACACAAATTATTAACTTTTGAGCACTTCCCATGATTTTATGTAGGTGTATAGCAAAATTTTACATTCTAAAAAGCAAATAGGATTACATAGGCTTCTTGGACCCTATGCGAGTCAATGAGAGGACATGTCTAGGCCTCTATGGATGTGATGTAGAAGACCTGAAATAGAGATTGATTGCTGTTTTCGATGAATTCACGATGAAGAAGAAAAGCCACATACTTCTAGCCTACAACTGCGAGTATGTGTTCTCGGCTTTTAATTTTATGCTTCTTTTTCGTTAAGATTATTCGATAATTAGGATTCTGTGATTGCAGCAACCATTTCGTCTTCATTTGTGTTAATCTTGACAAAAATCTGCTCGAGGTGTGGGACTCGAAGAAAAAACCATTTCATCATCTGGATGCATTGGTGGCAGTGTTGAATTAGTAAGCGATCCTAATAACATATTATTTTCTAATCACACATACTGCTTTCTAATGTTTCTCCTTTTAATGTTACTCAGTGTCCGAAGAAGACATATCGGTGGGACACCGGTCCCATTCAAGGTTGTCGAAATGGAGGGAAAGTACCTATCACAGCCGGCGGGAAACAATGAATGCGGGTTTTATGTAATGTGGGCAATGCTTCGCTACATCGGCGGGAAATCGGAAGAAGCCGATAAGTTGGTGTGTATAATCCCCATTTCATTTATGTCTGTTAATAATTCAACAAAATGATTTACTGTTCCTCTTTGAATATCATCTTTTTTGAACGACAGCGCAAGAAATATAAGCACGAAAGGCTGCTAGACATGGAGATCATCGCACTACAATCGGAGCTGGCAAAATTCATCTTAGCCGAGGTATTGGAAAAAGATGGAGTATTTTCCATTGCACAATCCATGAAGTACAAGGACCAGTATGGCCCAGAGCGGCTCGCCAGATTACTGTAAGAAGTTCGAGAAGCATTGCACAATCTGTGAAGTCCAAGAACATTTCTTTTTTGTTTTGAGTTATTAAGATCTTGATAAGAACATTTGAACTGTAACCGTGATATTTGTAATGTTTAATATTGGTGGACCTGTCGTCTACGTAGCGTATATAAAGCGAAACCTGATTCCACGAAAAAATATAAATTAAAATAAATTATAAAACAATAAAATACGAACGGGCACCGCCGGTTAGCAACAAACCGGCAGTGTTGTCGTAACCATCACTGCCGGTTAGAAACAAACCGATAGTATTGGCTTGCTCAACACTGCCGGCTTGAACCATGAACCAACACTGATGGTTACGACAACACTGCCGGTTTGATCCATGAACCGACACTGATATTTAGTACAAAACTGCCGGTTTGATCCATGAACCGACAATATAGGCTTGCTCAACATTGCTACCTTGAGCCAAGAACCGACACTCTTAAAGCAATCGTCACTGTCAGTTAGCACTACAAACTGGCAGTGTTGTTCAACTGGACACTGCCGGGTGGAGCCAGGAACCGATACTGTTTCCTGTAGATCAGTGTCGGTTTTTAAGGACCGGCAGTGATGTCAACCCCCATCACTGACGGTATGCCACTGTCGGTTTAAAATCTGGCAGTGAAGTGGGTTTTTAAACTGACAGTGATGTCCAGATCTGGGGTAGTGAATCCTCGTTGGGAGGCATTTGGAAGGGAAAGTTTATACTAAATGTTGAATGCAGATTCTGGTTCTGATCATTAGGTGTATTGGGATTTCAAAATATCTTTAAATGTATACTTCATCCACATATTTCTCTTACAATATTTCATCTATTGGGTACAAAATAAATATCTTATTATATCATCAATTACTACAAAATAAATGCCATGTTAAATATTCGAGATTTTTTCTTATTCGTCTAAATTTCAAATTTCAATGCACTAAGCATGCATGTGATTTGCAATTTACCAATTATTGGTCAAATTTTATGAACTTTAACCTTTTATTATCTTATTATGTGCACTAAAAAGAAACCCACAGAGAAGTAGATGTAACTTAATTTTTTATTATATTCTTCCCGGCAATAAGGTGTTAGATCCTAGCAGTAAATATTACTCCTACATAAAGGGAACAGCTCTCCAAGTCCTATAGCCCTGTACAACATTATTGAACTTTGTCATATCATAACCCTAAAATAATAGCTACATTTGGGCGCACTTATGCTAGCCACACTAGCTAGGTTTTACTTCATCCATTTGGCATATTAGTGTCGTATGCATAGACAAAGGAGTTATAAGAATGAGAAAAAAAGAATAATAAATAATCACAAATCCTTGCTTGAGTTCTATCTGCTAATATATATTGAAGTACATGTAGAAGGTAGAAAGATTTTAGTAAGTAAACTAACATTTCAATGAGTGCCTTAATGGACATGCAAACAAAAATCAAGCTCTTCTCAAACGGATCGGAAACATGGCAATTAAAAATGGAGATACAATTTGTTTCAATGTCATACAATTTGTTTCAATGTCTAAACAATAAATATCTAATGAATGTTGTATAAGAGTGAATTCCGGAAAAATAAAGTTATTTCTAACTAACTGTAGAAGAAATATATTTTTTGGAATAGTTTGAAAGAACTTAACTAATTGTGCTCACATAATGCAAACCTAGCTTTATATTGTGGAAACCAAAGAAAAGTGACTAGTTTTGTAATGTTTTTGTAGTTTTGTGTAATTATTGGAGCAAAATATATAGTTAAGTTCTCTGAAACTATTGTCAAATTCTGTGGTTTCTTTATATATGCAAATAGTTGTAATTAAATCCAGATGTCAACTTTAGTGGGGTTACTTGTTGAACTAGAAAAGGAGGAAATATGTTAGGGAGCCATGCAAGTTTTACTAATAATAATTAACATTACATGTTTCTTTTTAGTTTTCCTATAATTAGGGAGTAGCAATTGCAAATTCATTTCATTGGTGCTAAATATTCTACCAATTTCAACCCTACAATTTTACTGTCGTTACGTTACAGCACACATGCAAACATTATCATAGATAACTGCTGCCTTACCTTTTATCCTGAAGGTGTTCCCTCAGTGTATCAATGAGTTCCTTCTCATCATCATCCAACATATTACTGGTAATACCAACTCCTTTTGCAATGCCTCTTAATACTTTTCTGACATCAGGAGTTCGAGAGACTGAGACGAAAACTGCACATGAAAATTGGCTTTTAACATCTTTATAGACTTGGTTTGCAAGAGTAGTCTTACCAAGACCTCCACAACCAACAATAGAGAGCACTTTAAGTTCTGATGAAGAAGCCTTCTTGGTTTCCATGGTTAACCACTCAGTGATATACTTCTTAGGACCGTCAATGCCGACAAGCTTATCTATCTCCACATACAGCGCGGATAGCCGAGGGTCAACAGCACATGTACTTCTAGAGTTGGAAGAGATATTTTTTTTTGACTCAAAGTTGGAAGAGATATCGACTAACTGGTACCTCTTGTGCCTCTCGCTTGCCTCTATAACAGATGCCTTGAGATCTTGGATCTGTTTGGCGATCTCATGACGTGGTTTCAGTTTCTTCAACTTGCGGAAGAACCTCTTGATGAAGCCCGAATGTCCATCATGCTCATGGTCAACACGAATCATGAAGGCATCAATGCAATCTTCCAAGTCATAGGCCAGCTCACGTAACTTGTCCCTCCATTTTCTCGTTTGAGGGTTGAGCTCCTCTGCATCTGCGAGCATCTCGAGCGTTGCACTCATGGCGCTCAGCTCATCTATCAAAAACATGATCTGCTTGCGCACGCCTTTGAACTTGGCGTACTCTTCTTCCAGCAGCTTGGTGAGCTTGGACAGGAGGGGATTCATTACTCCGGTGGTAACACCCACGACAGCTGCCGTGGCCATTTTTGACCATCTGGTGAGCAGAGCTCGATGGATATGCGGTGGTGCTGTGGGAGGAAGTGGGAAGAGGGTGTTGATACCAGTTCATGTATATAGTTCAAGCATGACCTGTTTCTTTTCTTGAGCAATTTGTTCGAGTCGTACAACTTGCTTTGTTTTATTTAGATCCAGACAAACCAATATTGTTGTTAATCGGAGTAGTTTAGAAAGAGCTAACCACTGCAAACACTGCACACTGCCATGACCACCTATCAGAACATATGCTTTCCCACAAATCTTATGACTCCGCGACTTGTTTACAAGCTAATGACCCATTTTCGTCGGCACGATAATTAACAAATCGAAGAGTATGGACTGATCTTTCTTTCGTCAAATAATATTTCCTTACAGACAAGAGGGGGCATTCACGAAGCTTCGTGGTAATGACACAGAGAGCGTTGATTTTGATAGGTAAACAACTTCAGTTTAATTGGTCAGAGATAGATGCTGGAAGTAACGATCTCACTGGATGAACAGATCAGAAAAGCAAGAAACAAATGTGTTGGCCGTGACTGACCGTGACTGTGACCGTGACCGTGACTAACCGTGAGTCAAATGTGTTGGCTTAGGGTCCCAAAGTAAATGTACGATGGTCCATATGGGCCACATCAGAAGTTTGGCCACATCAATTGAATTTTTGACACTATAAGTAGCTAGCGTGCCCGTGCGTTGCTATCGGATAACTAAATCTTTTGTACTAAAAACACACAGATCGCACGATAAGATAACAATACTGTTAAATTAAATATCGACGTCAGTGACATTTAATTCAAAAAGCAAAGTTCATGAAATTAACACAGTCACTGAGAACGCGACATCGCAGGCTCACAAACTCTATTGTATAGACTTTTTCGTGATACGGCTAAGATAATATTTTATATCGGCAGAAAGAATTCTACGATATCCATTTCTTTCATGCGCCAATAAATCCATGAATAAGTTTCCTTGCATTTCCATATAATAATGTACACACATGTTCGAGTATATATGTAAATAGGTTCGTGCCCGTGCGTTGCTACGGGACAGCTAAACTTTTATACTAAAAACACATGGATCGCACGATAAGATAACAATACTGTAAAAGTATACGACCGACATTAAAGTAACATTTAATCCAAAAAGCTAAGTCCGTAAAATTTACACCGTCACAGAGAGCGTGGCATCAGCTTTCTCCCACACAAATTCTACATGCTATTGAGACATATCTTTGGCTTAACTGCAGTTGCTTCAGCTTTCTCCCACACAAATTCTTCAACAAGCTAAGCTGCACTAGAAGCCACTGCATCATAATCTGAAAGGAGCTGCAACATTTACGGACACAAAAAAAAACAATTATCCTATTGAAACTAACAAATTGCAAAATCTTGTGTTGAATTATGTTGAATTACTCCATAAAAATCTCACACTGTGCTCTTGGATTGGTGCATATCAATGAAGATCTCTTCCCATGTCGCTTGGAAAGACAATCTACAGACCACACCAATAGGCAAAAAATCAATAACTTAGAGATTATGTTTTTTTTGTTCTCAAACAAGCATATTTAGTCCAATCATCTATGACTATTAGGACCTGTGATGTTCCAAACTTTTCAACTACCACTACTGTTCCAGCTCCAGCCCTGCTTATTAGCTGTGAAAAATTCTGAAGGTCTACCCTTCAGAAAACTGCAAATATGATAGAAAATACAGATTGCAACTGATATCTAGATGTGTCCACTCTTAGTGCCACAAATGTTGCTTAAGTTTCATTAACATGCTCTAATTTTCATGTGTGAAGCTGACGATTCGGTTTTGCTATACTTCACTTTGCATAGCACTATGTTCCCTCCTCCCTCCCACCCTCTCTCGTGTTAGAAACTTAAACTGCAGTATGCATAACTAAAGGTTTAGGTGCCTCAGCTGGATCAATTATTGTTGGTTGAAAGGCTTTCATTGATGAGGCCTGATCAATTGTGTCTCAAGTATAAAGTTCAATGATTTCTTTTCTAAGAGGAAAAAGAACTGCACAGATCAAGTAGCAAAGGAAATCTGAAGAATATATACCTCCAGGCAAGGAAAGGAATGTATAAGATGTAAGATTCTTAGAAGAACAATAGTATTATATAAATTCATATCGTGTTTTGAACATTTCTGTCAGGCCAACAATCTCATCCTCGGATGAGTTTTCTTTGATGCAAATAAAAGACATGAATTAAAGTCTCTGATATAGCTTGGAAATAAACTGTTGAATGTTTCCTGTACTGCTCTCTACCCTGCAAATAAAAGACAATATGCATAAGCTAGCAGTCAGTAGATCTCAAGGGGTCACACTGGCTAAATGATGCAGCATTACGGCCATTACCTAGCCATGTACTTGTTGGTGAGAATTTATATAAATATAAAGAATGAAAAAGACAACAAGAAAGATTGGCATTAGGCCAACTCCTTTTGATTCTTTACAAACACATCTAAAAGTTAACATGTGGGCTGTGGGCATCAAATCAAAACAAAATAAAGAACATGGATTCGACCATAAGTAGCATTTGCCCTCTTTTTTTTGAAAAAAAAGAAAGGTACTATAGAGTTACAGGATTGTCAATCTTATCAGCACCATCAATTTTTGGCAATTGTAGAACTCAACCAAGACACCCATTGAAGTGCTACATCCCTAGCTCGCAACCCAATTAAGAGTAAGTTCTCGCAAGCCTAGCTCCCCAACCATTATTAAACTGTCTGAAGTGGTCCAAAATGAAGACCACTATATGAAAAAAGAGTAAATGATAATCCCAATCAACTACTTGTCTTAACTTCATTTTCTTGGAAAAAAACAGTTTATGCAATTCAATAATAGTAAAAAACAGTTGGTGTCGGAGACCCTACGCATGGACATCTTGACATACAGATTCTCCAGCCCATCCAGCTCACCCTAGCATCCATGAGAGCTTTTGATTTGGTGCCACCACTTATTCCATAACCGCCACCAATTGTGGAGTCCTTGATTAACGAGTATCAATGCTGAATGAAAATGTATTGCATTAATTGTTTCAAGTATATGAGACTCCTAATACTATTTATATTCAGATTGAATTATGAATATCGATGGTGATGATAGTGAAAAACTAAATTTATTGCACAACTGAGGCTGAATTTCTTTGAACTCTAACAAACAACCATTAGTCGAGAATTGAAATAGAAGGGCAATGGCGGCTACACTTACGTCAAGCAAGCAAGGCGTCGATCCTAAACTTCCACGATGGCGAGACCAATTTAAATCGCTGAGTTGTCGCCACTCGTGCCTTCTTGTCTAGCGAGGATCGAACAAGAATACACCAGAACCATCTGCGACAACGCATGGCTTAGTACTGATCCCTCGTAGCGGTGTATCTAGAAATAAATCAAATAATACACCGAGAACCGGGATGCTGGCGATGGATCTCGCTACCACGTGACTCCCTCAACCTTGTTGCCACTGGATCCTATGGACCTCGCCTCGGTGGAAAGGGCATCGCAGAGGAGGATGGCGCCGGAGGAGATCTTAATAGCAACAGTGAGGATAGTAGTGTTTCTCATGATTATCATGAAATCATTGGCTGAGTAAGGAAATTGAAGGAAAAAAGTTATCATCCAGAATAAGATGAAATCATAAACCGCACCTGATTAAGGCAGTAATCATCTAGATTGGTAAGGGAAAAGTGGGAGAACAATAGATGGATTGCCTCCAAATCGCAAAGAAATGCTAGCTGGATGATTAAATGGACCTTAGCTTGTTGGATTGCCTCCAAATCGCAAAGCAATGGCACCGCACATAGTAGATCCACTGCACGGAATGAGGGAGAGAGAGAGCATACCAGGGAGCAGACGGATTGAGGCAAAGTAGAGCCGCGCGAGTAGCATGCAGGAGGCCACGCAGGGGACCAGGGGACGGGCGGTAGGCGCGGCATCACCCACACCGGGTCCCGATCGATCCGGGGATAGCCGGGCGATGGAGATGCGAAACCCTAAGCTGGCATCATTTCGGCGCGACGCAGAGATGCGAGGGGAGGCGGCAGGAGGCAGGGAGAGGACGGAGCGAGACGACGGCGAAGTGCGACGGGCGTGGGCGGCGGCGGCGCGGCCTGCTGCGGGCAGGCATGGGTTTAGCGACACATGGAGGTGGGGGTGGCCGGTGGGGGTGGGATGCGGATGGCGTGAGGGGGCACGACGAGGAGATGGGAGGGGAGGCAGCAGGAGGCAGGGAGAGGACGCAGCGAGACGACGGCGAAGCGCGACGGGCGCGGGTGGCAGCGGCGCGGCCTGCTGCGGGCGGGCACACGGGCGCAGGGTGGGCGCAATGGGGGCGCGGCGACGAGCGACATTTTTTTGGAAGGGAGACCAGCGTAGGGGGCATAGAGAAAGATCGCACGGGCGGCAGACAGACAGGATGATGGACAAATGTCGCACAAAAAAATATCCAAGTTTTGTTCTTTTTAGTTGTAGGAGATTACTGTATGTATTATTGCAGACCGTCAAAAACCATTATCACACGAGCAAACCATCCCCCTTTAATAAAATGCCGCATAAATCATGATTTACACAGCGGACAATGCCCGCCTTCGTTAACAAATTAAATAAAAAACAAAGAAAAACTAACGAGCCCATTGATGGGCCTATTGAGCCCATCCACAAAGGCCAGCTGAGGTCATCGACGCGTTGCCGCTCACTGGATCTGCCCGCACACCGCCGTTCTTCGCTAGATCCATCGCTGCGCCACCACGCGCTCCTCACCTGGTCTGCCCACGCGCCACCGCTCCTCACTGGACTATCCGTGCGTCGTTGCCACTGCTCATATCTGGATCACCATCATCGAGCCCATCATGGCCACCACTGTTGGTATATTTAACGCACATAGATAAATCCGCAAGCGCACGGATACCGCTATAGCTTTTACCCGGAGGTATTCCAAGTATCGTATCCACATGGAAACGTGTGAGATTAAATACGGTCTAA